CAAGAAAGAGAATTGAGAATCTGGACTTTGAAAACCTCAAGACTGGCCCCAGTGACCTACTTCCTCCAGCAAGGCTCCACCTCTTGAATGTTCTATAATATAACCTCCTGACCAGTGCCACTGGCTGGGGAGGGACCAAGTACGAGGGAGGAATTTCACATAGAAACCACCACCCTGTCTTTACTATGAATTTATTGAGCCTATATTTCAGAAGTACTATAGCTTCCTAGTCTCCTAAAGTGTTGCTCTTATATGTCTTATATTTTATATTTACCTCTGAACATGAATTCTTCCACTGAATTCTAAATGAATTACGTGCAGAGAGTGTGTGTCTTTTTATTCACTGGATCCAAGTAACATATCGTCATAGATTTCACAGATCTTCAATAAGAATTTGCAGACTGTGCATTCATCAGTTTTATTTATTTATTTATTTATTTTTATTTTTTGGTCCTGAAACAAATACCTGAAATAGTTTGAAAAGAGGAAATAGTTGTTTTAGTTCCTGTATCCGTAAGTCTCAGTTGACACTTGATGGCTCCGTTTCTTTGTGGTGAGGAAGATCATGGTGGTAGAGAGAAATGGAGGAGGAGGCTGCTTACCTTAGAATGGTTGGGAAGCAAAGACAGGAACAGGAAGACACCAGGCATGTCCCCAGTGACACACTTCCTTCAATCAAGCCCTACTCCCTAACATGTCCATTGCTTCCCAGTAAAACCATCAAAATTGGAATCTATTGATGGTAAGTCTACAGAGACCCGACATTCCAGATGCAGTCACTTCCCTAAAGCTATACCTCTGCTCATTGCTATACTGGAACGTTTGGAGAGAACACCTCATATCTAAACTATAACATAAATAGCATGGTAGACTCTTCGCAATCTAAGTAACAAAGCATCCAGACAATTTAATATCATTGACCAGATATGCAACTGTATTGCTATATGGTAATTAAATAAGATTTAGTGACTATCTAAGACAATGTAACTTGGTTAACCTGGCCTAGTTTGGTATATAAATCTCCCCACCCATCATTGTTACCGGGTCTGATCGAACACTGGATAGGCAAGCCTTTGGTAGACTAAATGCTGTTCTCTGCTGTGGCTTCTGATTTCCTGGGAAAGAGGAGCAAATAGGGGCTGGGTGTCACACCAGTAACAAATCGTACACATGCTGAAAGCCGAGAGGTTTTTCAGGGGAGTTGCCACAGGTTTCAGTGGAATGACAATTACAAGGTAGATGGATCATGTCACGCCTGCTGTGACCTTTACAATACATGAGGATCATTATTTTAATGTTAATTTGCATAATGGTTGGCCTAGCAGGAACATTGCTGAATGCTAATAGCTGCAGGATGCAATAAAATTAAACATTATCTGGGCTGACCTGCTAAAGGAAAAGTTGCCGAAGTATGACTCTTTAAGCACTTAATTTCATCCCAGGTCATGTCCAACACAATCAAATGAGGATTTCCGGTATCTGTTGAAACACTGGCAAGAACTGTCTAGAACGGAATAGCAGCCGCCGCCTTTGTGCAGAATCCTGGCCAGAGGAGTTTGCATTTTTATACAACTTGTCAGTCCTTTCTGAAGTATTTGGATTTGCAGCTCCTACTGTACCTTGCCTCAATGCTCCTTGCCCACTTCCCTCCTCTTTACCACATTTGCTGGCACATACATCATATTTGGTAAACTTAGAAACAATGGAACTCATCCTGTGGACCGAAAAACATTGAACAAAACTTCGTAAGCAGAATCAAACACGGCTAGTAGTAATTGATATTTTTAAGCTAACAGATACTGCCCCCCTCAAAGTACTTAATAAGCATACATTCTTAGTTGTGGGTGGAAGGTGGCCATAAGCATAGCGAATAAAAAGAAATAAACTATATGCATATGCTTCCTGTTCGACTATTTCTTCTTTGTAGAAAATGTCTTTGCACTCCAAATCAGTCTTTAGAGACTAATTCATTACAGTTTACCGACTTCTTGTTCTCCTGCATTTTGACCACAAGAGGGCAGCCATCTCTAAAAAACAACATTCTTGCTCTAAAGAGTAACTGGGCCAAACTTTAGGAAAGTTCTGCTTAGAAAAAGTCATCCCAAGCCCACAACCTTCATATCCTACAAGAAAGGAACCTTGTGAAGAGCACATGGAGATGGTGAAGCTGTCTAAATGCGTCCTTTCCTCATATTCGTGATCATTAAGGATCACATCACAGACGGTCCAGAGTCCCATTTCTGTACTTCTAAAGGCCTAAAGCTGCAAGACACCGGTGTTGTCATCATCAGAGATTTCGTTTTCATTTTTTCTTGGGGTGTGTCCAACAGCTATCAGCTTTCTCTTCCTTGTTAAAGGCAACACTCTGATTTAGAACTCCTACAGGTTTGCTTTTGTTTTGCTTCTTAAATCTCACTGATGACAGAAGCAATTGTTAACTTCTCAGTTAAATTGGTAGGGAAGGAAATTGTTTCAGAAGCACAGTCAGCATTTTTTACTTAAGTGTTCTTTATGTCCTACTTGTTTGGTGTCTCATGAGGGTAGTAAGGAACAACTTCCATAGCATATTTTAAATGAATATGCTTAGTATATACCGAAATATTTTGCTTCCTCTCCTTTAATTTTCTTAGTAGGCAACCTTCCTTCAAAATACCTTATTTGACCTTTATAGCTCTAGAAACAGCCAGGGCCTAATTTCCCTGTGGGTTTCTAATCCGATTTAAGTGAGTGGAACCTAGAATTATTTTAGCTCCCCAACCGAAAAACTAATACAGATGGATACTAGATTTTCAGGGCTCCTGCTTCTGGTTTTTCTCTGCCTCTGCTTCGTAAACTTGAAAGATCTGGTTCAGAACTCGATTTTACCAATCTGGCCTCTTACACAAATGTTCTGCCCCTGGCTTTGGGAGTCATGTGGGCAACCAAGTGGTGGTATGCAGGAATACTGGGAGTGGCAGAGAGCATTCACCAAGGCTCCTGGGCAGTGGTTTGGGGGACTGTTTCAGCTGAGGAAGAAAAGTGACTTGACCACAAGTCTTTTGGGAATCTGGTGCAACAGGGTAAGGCAGAAAGTTCTAGGATCTCAAGGGGGAACTGTATTACCTCCCTCTGAGCTGATACGGGCCTGCCTTTGAGCTGCGCAAGATAAATAGCACAAGACACTAAGTGACTGCTTCTATAGAAAGAAAGTCCTTCCAATCATCTGCTCACTGTGACACACACAGTCCACGTTACACACGTCACGTACAGAGAGGCCACCGACGTCACATGCTTAAACTTATGTATAGAAACGCGTGCCTTCGTCTGTATATTTTCCATAAACGAATATAAAGAGAGAAATGCACGAGCCTATTTTCATATCAGATATATTTATTAGAATATGAAGGTGAGCTCAGGCATGAGAATATAAATGTATACATATTTGTACAAATGAAAACAAGCACACGTGCATTTGCATGTGTGTATCTGTATGTAACTATGTTTCTTTAATTTTCCTCTCATCGCTCAAAACGCAGGAGTGTTTGCCCTACTCTGCCAAGATGGCTGATCACTTGAGTTCTTTTCTTCCTTTTTAATGGTCCATTCCCCCAAACTTCAAACCCAAGTTGAATAACGGGCCAGATGGGGTAGCCTAGGCCGACCCCAGACTTGCCCGGGACTCCGGCGGCTGCTGGCACAGGTCGGGGTGACTAAGGTCCGACTCCGTGCGGGGGTGGACCGCGACCCCCGGCGGCCGACCGTCCGGCCCGC